ATAACCCCCACCAATTCACTCCCCAGGCACACAGGAATAATTTTTAATAACCCCCCCGATTCACCCCCCAGGAAACCCCAGGTAATATTATATAAACCCGCCGATTCCCTCCCCAAACACCAGGATATTATATTTTATAACCCCCCCATAGAGACACAAAGGGTTATTAAATTTTATAACCCCCGGCCAAATTTACCTCCCTGAGACCAGGATTAATTTAATAACCCCAGCCATTCACCTCCCTAGAGACACACAGGATATATATATTATATAACCCCACCAGATTCACCTCCCTAGAGACACACAGGATATATATATTATATAACCCCAGCCAGATTCACCTCCCTAGAGACACACAGGATATATATATTATATAACACCCAGCCGATCCCCCCCTAGGAAACAGGATAATAATTATCCCCCCCGCCCGATTCCCTCCCTAAACCCCACAGGATATATATTATATAACGCCCACCCTGGACCCACAGGATATATAATTAAATAACCCCCCCCCTAGAGAAAACAGGAATTATATTATTAACACCGCCAATTTCCCCCCTAAGACAACAGATAATTAAATTTATAACACCCGCCTAGGACACAAGGAATATTATTATATAAACCCCCCGCCCAATTTTCCTCCCTGGACAAAGGTTATATATTAATAACACCCGCCAATTCACCCCCTAGAACCACAGGAATATATATTATATAACACCCAGCCAGATTCACCTCCCTAGGACACCCCAGGAAAATATTATAAACCCCAGCCATAAGACCAAGGTATATATATTTAAAAACACCCGCCAGATTTTTACCTCCCCAGGAAAAACAGGATTATATATTAATAACCCCCAGCCCGATTACCCCCCGAGACCCCAAAGGGTTATATATATAACCCAGCCATAGAACACACAGGTCAATTATTTATAAAACCCAGCCAGTTCACCCCCAGAGACCAAGTTATATTATATAACACCCAGCGTTCACCTCCCTAGAGACACACAGGAATTATATTTTTACACCCCAATAGGACCACGGTATTAAAATTATTAACCCCCCCACCCGTTCACCCCCTGGACACAGGTATATCTTTTATATAAAACCCACCAGTTCACCCCCCTAAGACACACGGGAATATATATTATATAACCCCAGCCGTTCACCACCCTAAGGGAAAAAGGTTATATATTAATAACCCCCCCCCCAGTTCACCTCCCCAGAGACACAAAAAGGGTTATAAATTAAAAACCCCCCCCCAGATTCCCCCCTAAACCCCAGGTTATTATTATATAAACCCCCGCCCGATTACCTCCCCAGAGAAACGGATATTATTATAAACCCCCAGCCAATTCACCCCCTGAGAACAGGTTATTATTATTAACACCCAGCAGATCACCCCCCTGGACACACAGGATAATTATTTTATAACCCCCGCCCTAGAGAACCCCCAGTATATTTTATATCACCCGCCATTCACCCCCCCTAGAGAAAACCCCGGATAATTATTATATCAAACCCCCCAGATTACCCCCCTAGAGAACCCCCGGATAAATATTTATAACGCCCCCGTTCACCTCCCTAGGAAAACAAGGATTATATATTATATAAAACCCCCCATAGAACACCAGGATATATATATTATAAACACCCCGCCCGATTCACCTAAGGACACACGTATTATATTATTAACCCCAGCCCGATTTACCTCCCTGAGACCACAGGGTTAATATTTTAACACCCGCCAGATTCACCTCCTAAGAACCCAGGAATATATTTTTATTAAAAACCCCGCCGTTCACCCCCTAGAGAACACAGGATAAATTTATTAACACCCGCCAGATTCACCTCCCATAGACACACGGATATATATATTTAAACCCCACCAGATTCACCCCTAGAGACACAAGGATATATATATTAAAACCCCCCGCCAATTCACCTCCTGGCACACAGGATATTAAAATTTTAACCCCCCGCCATTCACCTCATAGAACAACAGGGAAAATTTTATTTATAACACCCGCCAATTAAACCCCCCTGAGACACACGGGTTTATATTAATAACCCCCACCATAAGACACACCAGATTAAAATATAAAACCCCCACCCTTCACCTCCCAGAACCACAGGATATTATATTTTTAACCCCCCAAAAAGAGAACACAGGATTTATTTATATAAACCCAGCCGATTCACCCCCCCTAAGACACCAGGATTTTATTAATCCCCCCCGCCAATTCACCCCCCCTAAGCACCCCAGGAATTAATTTTATAACACCCAGCCAGTTCCCTCCCTGGACACACAGGAAATTTTATTATATAAACCCGCCAGATTTCCCCCCCTGGCACACAGGTATATTATTTTAAAACCCCCCCGCCCAAATTTACCTCCTGAGACACCGGATATTATTTATATAAAACCCACCAGATTACCTCCCTAAAACACACAGGATATTTAATATAACCCCGCCCGTTTCCTCCCTAAAACACAAGGATTAATTATATAACACCCCGCCCGATTTCCACCTCCCTAGAGACAACGGAAATATATTATTAAAA